AAAATAAACTGTAAAAATTATTTTTACAAAATTATATATATATGTAATTTTATTCTAACTGTATTTTGCTATATATATATATTTATATATATATATCAATATATAAAAATACACTTAGAACGAAATTATATATATAAATAAAAAACAAACAAAAAAATATATATGTATACCAATATACATAATTACATAAATAATGTCATAAACTTACACGTAGACTTCAAATATATAAATATGTATATACGTGCATATTTATGTACTAGTTTTACATAATTAAGTCATTTTATTGATTGCAATTTGAGGGACCTGCCTGACAACCCAGGCCAAAAGTCTAGAGAATTTTATTTGCCAGCACTGTATTTAACCCTGTAGCTTTCCAAGACAACCTAAAACCTGTGCATGGGGGGTACTGTTTTACTTGGGAGGTTTCACTCAACACAAATATTAGTGTTTCAAAACAGTTAAACATATCACAGTAGTGATATTGTCAGTGAAAGTGAAGGTTTTTGCATTTTTCACACACAAACTGCACTTTCACTGATGATATTGTTGTGATACGTTTTACTGTTTTAAAACAAATATTTAATATTTGTGTTCAGCGAAGTTTCCCAAGTATAAGAGTACCCCCCAAGTACAGGTTTTATAGTGTTTTTGAAAGTTATAGGGTCAAATATAAGTCTTGGTTTTCCATTTTTTCACATTGAAATTTGCCGGATTGGTTATGTTGCCTTTGAGAGCGTATGGTAGCCCAGGAATGAGAATTACCCCCATGATGGCATACCATTCGCAAAAGAAGACAACCCAAGGTATTGCAAATGGGGTATGTTCGGTCTTTTTCAGTAGTCACAAACAGTGGCTAAAGTTAGCGTTCATAATAGTTTTTTGCATTTTTAACACACAAACAAATATAAATGCTAACTTTGGCCTACTAAAAAAGACTGGACATACCCCATACTGAATACCCTGGGTGGCCTACTTTAAAAAAAATATGTACATGTGAGGTGTGATTCAGAAATTTATGAGAGATAACAGTGTTACAATGTCACTATTGATAAATGTTAAAAATATATATATTTTGAAACATCAATGTCCTACTTACACTCTAACTACAAAACAAAAGCTAAAAACATGTTAACATTAGGTATTTCTAAACTCAGGACAAAATTTTGAAACTATTTAGCACGGGTGTTTTTTGGCGGTTTAGATGCAGATGTCCCTCTAGTGCCTGTCTGGTAGAGGTGGTATTCACCCTGCATGGTAATTATGGTAATTGATGATAAACTGCATTAATTAGAATTGCTGGATTAAAGGGGCCTGGAACACCGCACCCAGACCCAGATCAATTAGATGAAGTTGTCTGGGTGGCTATAGTGTCTCTTTAATAGGATGCAATAATTTATTTTAACAGAGAGGTACCGCATGTGTATACAGGTAGATCAGGCACATTCCAGGTTTCCCAACTACATTTCCATCATCACTTAAACTCTTCCAGAGGTTTATTCATATGTCAGTCGATATTCTGTGGTCGGTCATCACATCGCATTCTTGCTAGTCCCATTTGTCATTTCCGTTTTCTGTTTTTTTTTTTTTAAATAATTTTTTTTTCCGCTTTGACTTTGTTTTATATATTATATCCACACTCCTCTATACTCACATACTAATTTGTTTCTTACTCTTGTGTATACCCATTTCCTCTTGTTTTTAATCAAGACCCCCTCCTATTGCAAGATTTGTAATCTTGTTCTGAGGACCATATTGGAGATGCCTCACAGCAGCACAAATCTGGCTGTTCATGAATGAGATCCATCTGTGCTTTTAAAAATACCAGAGCCTTCTTTACCACTGTTAATTTTGATAGGTAAATGACTTGTCAATATCCCCTTTCTAGAATTGTAAAACGCTACAGAAAATGTTAGTGCTAATAATAATACCATGCAAATTCCTTCTAATTAGCTTGCAACCTGATGCTCTTATGTCTTTGTTTGCCATCTTCTACTCTGCCTGAGATATACTGTCTGCATCTAAATTTAAATTTTTTTTTTTTTTAATTTATTGAATTTTGTTCCAATACAAGAAAAGAGGTAGAAACACTTTGGACATTAGTACAAGAAATACTAGAGTTCAATACACGTGGGGTAAATATGAAAATATTACATTATCAGTGGGAGTGACATAATATACATATAAAAAGAAGATTGAAAAAAAAAAAGAAGAGGGGAGGAAAACAGAGAAATAGCCATTTTGGGAGATGTGGCTGTTGTATCCACGAAGACCAAATGTTTGGATCTAACTTTTAATGGGATATCACCACTTGACTCGTTCTTTTGTGTCTGAGGATTTATTACTTGCCACTCTATTTTTGACCATTCTCAGCTAAAACATTCCCACATTACTTGTATGCCGAAACCCATGCTTTACTTGCTGTTGTGTTTGCCTGATGAGAATAAGGTATTTAAGCTTTGAACACCTACAGATAAATTGGCATTCTGATTGTACCCATGGCTAAGAGGTCCGTTTGTTAATCTTGAATGTCAGCTTTCCTTGGTATTGCACATGGACAGGCAGTAGTCACTGTGACAGAAACAGAGTACAATAGAATAAGTAAGGATATTCATTAACCCTCTCTATAGTTAAAGTTATGAAAAAGAACAGAAAAGAATGAGAGGGGAGGTCTATGCCCAGAACAGGGGGAAGACCACCCAAACCATTCAAAGAAAACCTCCTAATATTAAAAGTCACATAAAGAAGGGTAGATAACCTTTATTAGTATTGGTAAAAAAGAAATAATAATATAAACTTATAGTACCGGATCTATCCAGTAGCAATATACGGAAAGATACAAGGATGGACAAATGTCACTAGATAAGGGGACTAGAAAAACGAGTCCAGTGGAGTGATATAGATGGATGTAAAAATTAGGTATGTACAGCACATATATAGAGTATCTCAATATGTGCTAAAAAGAAGGCACGTAATGAGAGAGATATACACAAAGAAACAAATAGAGGTGAAAGAAACTTGGCTCTTGATAAAGGCGTATTTGATAACGCCGAAACGCAGGTCGAGATTTCTGAGAGACTCTAGACAGTTCTAGCCGATGCTAATTTACTTTAATTGATACTTTTGATATTTTTAGCAGACGCTAATTTAGATTGGAGTTGTCCTTAGCAGATACTATTAGGCTTCTCGATGAGACTTTAGGTGACTTTAGTCGTTGCCATTCTGAGACTTGAGATTTACCTCAGTATTTAGACTGGAGATGTCTTCTATTTGATATTACTAGGCATCTCCATTTTATTTTCTTTATTTTTCTTTAGTACCTGGATTGCCTTTTCAGTACAAGTGATATGCTAGCTTTTTCTAGCCATTTAGGGGAATAGTTAGGCTGCCTTGAAGCAGCAGTTAGGTGTATGTTTCAGTCCAGGTTAGAGCAGTGCTCTGTGAGGGTGTGTAGGTGACCTTTAGAAGCAACTTAGTTTCTTTCACCTCTATATGTTTCTTTGTGTATATCTCTCTCATTATGTGCCTTCTTTTTAGCACATATTGAGATACTCTATATATGTTGTACATACCTGATTTTTACATCCATCTATATCACTCCACTGGACTTTTTTTTTCTAGTCCCCTTATCTAGTGACATTTGTCCATCCTTGTATCTTTCCGTATATTGCTACTGGATAGATCCGGTACTATAAGTTTATATTATTATTTCTTTTTTACCAATACTAATAAAGGTTATCTACCCTTCTTTATGTGACTTTTAATATTAGGAGGTTTTCTTTGAATGGTTTGGGTGGTCTTCCCCCTGTTCTGGGCATAGACCTCCCCTCTCATTCTTTTCTGTTCTTTTTCACTACTTCAATCTGGGGTTAAGCCCCTTCTACCTCCTGTAACCTTTTTTCTGAAGGAGCAGTGGGGGTGTATTTACCTCCACATCTCCTTCCCCAGTTTATTTTATAGTTAAAGTTAGATAACATTCCCAAGAGCAAAGGCAGAGAGACCGTTAAACAGCAAAAACAAAAAAACCATGCAAAATGTTCTCACACTTTATGTGGTCATCAGTCTGTCAACATTAAAAGAACTTTAACTTAATCAAGCAGTTTTGGTGTATAGAGCATGCCCCTGTAGTTTCACTGCTCAATTCTCTGCTATTTAGGAGTTATACCACTTTGTTTATGCAGCCCTAGGCACACTTTACTGCATGTGACTTACACAGTGATCCTAAACACTTCCTGTAAAGAGTCATCTAATGTTTATACTTCCTTTATTGCAAATTCTGTTTAATTTAGAAATTCTTATCTCCAGCTGTGTTAAGAGCTTGCTAGACCACTCAGGAGCCTCATGTATGCAATTAAAGTTACATTTACAGTGCAACAGATAAAAACTTTTAAAGTAGGTTACATCTTTTTAAAAGTGAAACCATTTTTTTCCATGCAGGCAGTGTGAGTCACAACCAGGGGAGGTGTGGCTGGGGCTGCATAAACAGAAACAAAAATGAGTGAACTCCTAAATGGCAGTGAAATGAGCAGTGAAACTTAGAGCCATGAACTATAAACAAAAACCGCTTCATTAAGCTAACATTGTTTTAGTTAATATGGTGTCACTTTAAGATATTGCATTTCATATTTCCAATGTATCATGTACAAAATTTCAATTGCAGGGATGGGAAGATATCATATCTCCTTCATAACCAAAGTTTTGAAGACATTCCATGCGTTCATGACCAAGGCTCTATAGCTATGTCTGATTAGACTGGCCCTTATTTTAACCATGCCTCTTTACTTGCTTCTCATATATGCTATTTAGTGAAATGGCACAATTTTTCCACTATACTGACAAGGATCACATAATGCACCTCTTTCTCATCCTCCATTAATTCTAATCCTAAATTACCCGAACCTTAACCATAAATCCTTTTGATTGTAAGATTGTTTAAACAACACTAACCATTTTGTAGTTTGGGCTTAACTAATCCTAACTAACCCTAAATACTAACTTTAACACTACATGTTCACGGAGAGTAGATCAGCCAAAGATAATCCAGTAATAGCACTAACTCTAACACTAACTATGCAAGTTTAGTATATTGTTTATGATTTCCCTAGGAGTCAATTTTAGAGATGACCGATAAGGCTTGTGACAACTGTGCTTTACTCCAGGGTGACAGGTCAGTTTGAGGGACAATCGGTGACTGTTGCCACAGTATCTTCTTTTTAAGGTAGTCCTGCAAGGGCCAATTGACAATTCATTCCAGCATGCACTGTAGCCAGGCATCAACTGTCAATCACACCATAGGACTATTGTAACCAACATTGCTGCATGAAATGGAGGACGTCTGGCTGGCTGTGCATCCAAGGTATTTCTCTGAAATTGCCTGCCTTGGGTGCTGATGTTCCCCGCATGCTGGCCATGCCTCTTTCGTAACCGTGCAAGTTTTGCAGAACAGATTTGGACCAAACAGAACACTGTACAAATATTGACTATTAATAAACACATTAAACACATTAAACACATTCTTACTGCAAGGTACTTTTTTTGTGATTCATAGAGACATCAACAACTTTTATGGTAACACTTGATCACTGAATTTATTATTCTCTCTCAAAAATAACTCAGTTTGTATCCATTATGTTTATTGCGTTATGAGAGGTGACTATTAAAAAAAATATAGGCATTAAAGAATGCTGTGTTGATTTTATAAATACAATTCAGGATAAATCTTTGTGATCTTTTGAAAACGGCAAAATTTCTAACAAACATTGCACTAAAGTTAATTATCACCCTTTCATTAAATTAAAACAAAATGGTTAATATTTGTTAAAACGCAAGACAATAAGATAAAACCTTTATGTGTACACATCACAGAATAAAAAAAAAAAAGAATATATATATTTACAATATTTCTTCAAATTTGGTCACTTTTTATATTAGCTATTAACATTTCTAAAACTCTGGCAGAATAGAATATTTTATTTCAAAGATGGAGTGCACGTATTTATCGATTAGCGTGTACACACATTCAGCGCACGCAATCCTTATTGCATTCGCTATTCTCATTTATGTACAATATGGCTCAACAGAAACAAACATAATAGCCATTTCTTTAAAATCGATCCTCAGTGGAGCTCATTTCTGTCCATTGCGCGCTGTTACAACACATTTTGTGAAATGTGAGGATTTCTTCATTTTATTTAAGCATGTCTACTAAAATATAACTAATACAACCCATCTTTAAAAACCACAAGTATCTAAACTAGGAGTTTTGATGCTAGTAGGTATATTTTTGTGCACTGTCAAAAACTTTTTTGACCAACGAGACAATCTGCACACCAATTCCTTCATGTAAAAGATTCCAAATAGTTGCACAAGTCAAGTCAAGACTGTTGTTAACTTCTCCATATGTGCTTCGTAACAACCAAAACAACAAAAAAAAAAAATCACTTTTTTTGTGAGTGCAAATTGGTAGAACATGTGCTGCTATATTGGTCCTAGAGTTTATAAACTCTATCATAAATAGCTCAACCATGTGATTTTTTTTATGTGTTCAGTCTCCGGTTTCATCACTCGATTTCTCTGGTATAACCTCTAGGCTCCTCCTCGGTTTGGCTGCCTCTGTGTTTCCAGTGCTTGACTTGTTGAGTCCACAAGAAAGAGCAGCATAATGAATTTGCTTCAAGTTCTCCATGGTCTCGGTTTTGGCATACTTGAGAAGATCAGCTTGTCCCTGTAGACAGTCACAAAATAAAACTTGAGTTACATTGTAGGCATGACAACCACACTGAGGACAACATACAAGCCGTGGCATTTTGTAGCCCTGTGTGTACTGTTATAATACAAAATCCAAATGCAACTAAAATCAAGCTCTACTCTTCTTCTCGCTCCTTTCCATTATAACAAAAATATTCTTTATATGGGGTTCAAAAGCCTGTAAGGAGATGAACAGGAACTAGAAAGTTAAAAAACCCATTAAAAAACACCCAGCTCCATTAATTGACTGCATGAATAAAAATATACCTGTTAATACATTTGCACATTTTCACCTGCTCAGTAGCAAGCAACTCATCTTTGAAGTGACCACAAACAATCAAGTGCTGGTCAATAAAAAAAATTAAAACTCACACATACTAAGGTTCTTAAATCCTATTACAACCTTAGGAAGAATTCACGTAGAAAATAAAATCAGTTTATCATTTAGCAGGCTTGTGCATATGCCGCCCAAATGGTATTTTTTTTTTTTTTTTTACAAACGCAGTGATAGGGTGAATCAGAAAAAAAAAAAAAAGTAAAGCATAACTTGTGGTCACATTAACTAGCTAAAAGTTCAGTGCTCCTCTGTATAATTTAGCATATAAAAAGATATTAAAAAAAAACAAAAAAAAAAACAACTTTGTACTTAAGGGAATTTGGGGGTTTCAAATCAACGATTGTCCCACCAACTAAAAGTTTTAAAAGCATGATTAATAAATGGTATTCAAGTATTCTTTACATCAAGCCCGATTTTTATATCATGTTCGTCAGTTTTCAAAGCACCTCTATGAGGAGCTGATTGGTTATCGGCTAGAGAACTGGAAGACGTCACAGAAGGTGGAACGACTGCATTAAGGGAGCCTCAGAGCTGCAGTAAATAAAAAAAATAAATAAAAAAATTATAATTTTAAAGTGTTTTTTATTTTTTTTTAATGCAAAATGGGGCACTCTTGCATTAGGAATACAGGTTCGTATTCCTAACGCTATAGTGTCCCTTAAAAAGGATACTAAAGGCACCAAAACAACTTTAGCTTAATAAAGCAGTTTTAGTGTATAGATCATGCCCCTGCAGTTTCACTGCTCAATTTTCTGCCATTTAGGAGTTGCACTTCCTGTAAAGTGAGATCTAATGTTTAAACTTCCTTTATTGCATGCTCTGCCTTTTTGCAAGAGCCTCCGGTATGGGATTAAAGCTCAAATTACAGAGCAGGTGATAAAAACATCTAAAGCAAGTTAACATCTGATTGCAAATGAAACTATTTTTTTTATGCAGGCTGTTTCAGCCACAGCCAGGGGAGGAGTGGCAATAAACAGAAATAAAAGTGATTTAACTACTAAATGGAAGACAATTGAGAAGTGTGACTGCATAGTGCATGATCTATACACTAAAATTGCATTATTAAAAGAATACTATAGTGTTAGGAATACAAACATGTATTTCTAGCACTATAGAGCTGCAGTAAATACTTAGGTGACCAGCCGCCCTCAAAGTGGAGTTAAAATGTGTTTAAAGTTACCTTTTCTCCATCGCCATGCATGTCTTTCCGCAGGTGGACCGCCTCCATGGTTAAAATCATCAATGTTGATGATCTCAGCTTATCCAATTCTTTTTCATAGAAAAGCATTAGGAGGCTATTGCGCATGTGTGGCAAAATGCAACGCCAATCAACATCTCCTTGTAGAGGTGCATTGAATCCATGCATCTCTATGAGGAGCGTTCAGCATCTCCATGCAAAGCAGATTTCATTACCCTCTACCCTGTTCTGGCAAGGGGGAAGCTGTTTCACACTGATAAAGGCAGCGGGGGCAGAGTTAAATACTGCCAGAACCTGCTGCCTGTTCACTGCATACTGGGGGTTAAGCAGGAAGTCCGTTCTTCTCCAAACACTGCCATGGTTCTGTCCTCCGCTCCTTCCCCATAAAGGTAAGAGGAACATTTGGTGACTGTTTCTTTGTATGACTGTGTGCCAACATACTTTTCCGCCAAGTAGCCCAAGTACGCTTCTGTTTTAATCTTCGTTTGTTTACTATGCTCTCTTAGCACAACTCATCCCCTTAGTACTGAACATTAAAACATCTGTGAGTATTAATGCACTTGAAAAAGACTGCCTGCCAAAACGCATTGTGCTTTGATCCAGTAGTATTTCTTTTTTTGTTTATCAAAGCTGATCCTGCTTTCATCCATTTGGTGAAGTCCTGCCTTCTTTCAGACCCTTGAACTGGACTACCGGTATAGGGGATCAGTAAACCAAACTACATGCCATTTCAACTTGCTATATGAGGCTCTGGTAAATGTGAGTGGTTCTAAGCAAAGCCTTTTATAATATACATAATAATACACAATATTACACTGAGTTTTTTATTTTATTATTTGTACAGATTTCAAGATTTTTAATCTAACTTTCCTTCTGAGATGATTGTATTAAGTATAATTCATTTGGAGTGTGTTTGTTTTTTTCACTCTTCACTTATCTCTTTGCATTTTTATATTGTTCTATTTGTGCCTTTATGGGTGATCGGTGACTGGATTGTTGCAATTTTATTAACTAGCGCCGACTGCAACTCATTCATCTTTTGTTACCAAAAAATAGAATATAACTTGAAATGTCAATAACACAAACTTCCAGAAGTAGCTTTAACATGTTAATGTAACATAAATGCTTCTCTGTTCTAAACAGGAGTACTTTTAAATATTTGTATTTGTAGAGCAGGCCAGCTTTATGAGACACTGCAATAATATCAAATTATTTTAAACATCCAGAACATAAATGTAACAAATATATATATATATATATATATATATATATATATATTTGTTTTAATGTTTTAAAACATTAATTAATGTTTAGTGTCTACTGTTTTGGCTTTATGTCTACATGTCTCTAGTTCCAACAGAATATGACACATTTGTTATAATACTCAAGGGCCTCAATTTAATATTTTTGGATATCCTTTTCAAATGATCACCATCTGTGAGAAAATCTTTTCAAATTATTTATGTACGGAGGTCTATGGGAATTTTCAGAGATAAATTATTTGAAAAGTTTTCCTAACATTGTGATCATTTGAAAAGCTTATCCAAAAAATATGAAATCAAGCCCAATGTTTGCAAACTATATGAGAAACATTTGGGGTATAAAAAAATTAATTAAATAATTAGAAAAAAAAAAATTCAAGTCTTCAAAAGCAACTATCCTGAAAAGAGTCTGTCTATCCGTGTCTGTGAGCTTTGGCTTGTGAGCACTGGCTATTTGCCAGTGTAGCTGCCCATGTCTGGCATGAGACAGTTCACCTAAAAAAAATATTTTGTATTTTATATTATTATTTTGCAGTTTTTGTAACGAATGCATCTGAAAATCTAACAGATTATTTGGTCAACTTGAAACCCTATTCACTGCCTTACGTTGCTTTAGAAAAAAAAAATCACAAGTTAAAGTGCTAGTTATTGCACATCTTTTATAGTGGACACATGCTGCTATAGGCAATCAACCTGTATGACTTCACCTTTGAAACTGAACTTAAATTGCTATTTGGTTACTTAAAATTCTGATCATTTAATGCAAATCAGCTTACACTCCCCATGATGTCTATCTCATCTCAGTTACGTTTGCTGAACAGATTCTTGAAATGAGGCCCTTATAGTCAATGA